ACACACACACACACACACACACACACACACACACACACACCGACACACTTAGCGAATTATTTAAAGTAGGATACTAACCTGAATTTGACACCCATATGTTTCACGGATGTCCTTGATGTTCGCGCCTGATTTCCCGATGACCATACCAGCGGACGTGTTGGGCATAACTAATTTCACCTAGAAGACTTCACTTATATTGTTTTCACTGGAGACCACCGTACTATTATAAAAACCAATTAAGAACAGTATGTTCCAAATTCATTTTGCTTCGCAGAAAGTTAGTTGTTCTTAACATTTAAGCAAGTGTAAGCACAGAGGTCCCGCTGTGGGAGATGGGAAGGGTGAATTCACACATCCATCGTGTTTACCGTACCGATTAATTTACTGTACTAATTCCGATCTGATGAATACTGAATTCCCTGAATTACGAATGTGGCTGATGAAAAACTACAGTAACAGGCGGATGAAGTCTTGGACAGTACAGCAATCCTTGGCCTATATTTGAGCCTTTTCAAGGCGCGTCGGCAATATCAACTTCTATTAGGTGGTTCTGAACGTATTTGCCGAAAGTCTTGAACGAAGACATTACCCCTTAATGTGTGTGACATATTCGGTTACCTCTTCCTTGCTTATTTGACCCAATGAAGACCGAACTGCTCCCCATAATGGACACATTTATTTTTACGAGTTCGGATCCACTCCGCCGCTGAGCCCCATCGAAACTTGTGTCGAACAATAGGTTTCGATCCCTGCCCAGCCAAAGCCGAAGCGGTCTGCGCACGCGTCGTTGCACGCTAGAAACAAAAAGGTCGAAGATAAGCCCCGATCAGGCCAATCCACTACGATATCACGAAATCTCCGTGTACGTTATACATACACAACTTAGTAGTGTTAAGGGAGGCTCAAAAGCACCTAAAAAAAATGGACTTTTTGTGAATGTTTCGGAGACTGTTTTTGAACACCCAAGACAAACCTCATTTCCGCGGCTAACTCCTTTGTGATCGAACGCATCAGAATTGGTGGAACCCTCGCATTTCTCATTAATCTTCTGCAGTATCACTTCAATGACACCAAGGACATTTTGAACGCGTCCTTTCACTAGACAGATACGCTCACTTGTGCCTAAAAAAACCAAACAATATTGATGGTTCGCTCATGGAAAACTACCACGTATACATCTTCTTCATTAACAAAACCAATGCATACCTGGGTATGTTTCTGAACTTTTGCTCATTTGAACACGACACTGATGATCACTTTTCAAATTTCTCATCGCCTCACCACCTTTGCCAATAATTGCTCCTACCGCTGCCGACGGAATCAATATTTTCACAGCCACTTGATCTGCATATCACAAAAGCCAAGATTTGAAATACTGCGAAAAAAGCGATTGCGGAACTTACTACTATCATCCTCAACATGTGCTCGTTTACTTGCAGGACCATCGAATGAATCTTGGCCTCTCTTAGTACCTGCCGATTGAAGAGGAGAACTTTCGCCGTCAACCTTTTGTTCAGGCATGATCATTGTACGGTGAACTGCTGAAAATGAAACCTCACCATCTATATCAAATATAAACGATATGCAATACTCACGAAAACGTAGGAATGGGGTGATAAACAATGCATTCGTAGTACTTTTCGTTCACTAGCTCAATTCACTACGGCTAGTTTCAAATCTCTCGGGCCTTCCTGGTAGCGTGTCTGCCGGGAAGGGACGAGGCTTGTGCAGAATTAGTAAGCTTGTCTTGGACATGTTCTCTCATACAGTTTTACTATAAGGTAAATTCGAGCTGAAAAACAGGTGAACACAAAAACAGAACGCCCTCCAGCGCAAATTTCCCGCAAGGGTCGTGCCCTTTGAGAAGATGGGGCTTTCAGTTTTGAGAAATCATAGAACTTTACTGACATCTCGCATACAACCATGTTTCCCGTGAGAAGGAAGAAAATGAGAGAAATGCAGCGTTTTCATTAGAAATGAGCAATATGAAACTATTGGGAACTGCGAAGGACAAACTTTCATTCCCTCAAAGTCTGGCAGGAAAACACCTCGCATCAATAACTATTTTCCAATTCCCTTTTTTGATTACCACAAAGGAATCCCAATTAAAAAGAAGTCGTGGGCAATTAAAAAGAAGTCGTGGGCCAGAAGGGAGCGAGGCGGTGCACGCTGTGTGACGTGCGATCGATGGCAGTATCCAATCGTGGCGCGACCTCTCTAGTTGGAATGGCAGAGCGCGCTATTCAAACCGCAAATTTCACTGCCCCTCTGCTGAAGTGTAAGGATGAGTTGAGAGAGAAACAAGAAATGGAAGTTCACATTACGCGCTCTAAACGAGTATGGCTTTCGGCGAGTAATTGCCGGCAGCAACTACTTTGGACGGACGACAAAATGGGATATGCTCGGTCGGAGAATCGGTTAAGATGTAGTGGTGGGCGGGACGGAAGGGAAGGGGAGGGGCGAAAATGGAATTGGGGGAGGGAAGGGAGAGTGAGAGGAAGGGTCCTTTCCGCTCTAATGCTGAGCGCTGGAGTGCGCAGTGAAGGAGGGGTAGAAGGGGGAGGGGGTAATTCTACTTGCCTTTGCTCATGCTGTTAGTTAATGATGGAGAACTTGACCGTTATGCTCCCTAGGGCGGGTGAGGTGATTACCTCGTGCAAGAAATTGGGATACGGTAGAAAATTGAACATTCAATTGACTCATCCACCCGGGCGCTTCTTTCACGAAGGAACTTTACTGAGCACCACTATGGGCTCGCGAAATCGGCTAACCATCCTTCTCTAGCGCCCTGTGTTGAAGAACAGCGGTATCTCCCACCCCAATTAACTTTCACACAAGAATTAAATAAACACTGCGTTAGCCATTATTTGTGAAGTAGGATGTAGAATTCATGGAAACTCAGAATAGCAACCTAAATGATAGAGGGAATGTGAAATTGCGATTTTTCTCTCGGAGGAGGTTAGACCTCTACAGACTACAAATAACGCCGATTTTGTGGTTCTTGACCAGATAATAACAGTGCTCTGAGGCTTCGACAAGGTTTTATGGAAAACTACAATTATGCTTTTTGAGTTGAACGACTGCATTTACTAAAACCATCATCCAAGGAAATGCAACGGTTGCTAGGAGCTACGCATTGGCAACGACGCAGTTTGGTAGGCAATTAGGCGAAAGTAGTAAGGGAATGGGAAGGGGGAAGGGAGGAACACATGACCGTGCTAGTATAACAAGGAATGATTACGGTGTTACGTGTTACAGCTTGTTTCATTAAGGACATGCGATTTTAACCTATGCCTTAGAAATAGAAGGGAAGGAGCACCGGCGTGGGATAGTTTTCGGCTTTGCGCCCGAGGTGATCTTCCCACTCACCCGGTGCTCCCACCATCCCAAGACCTAGTTGAAAGACTACATTTCCCTGGCTAAAACCGCCTAAGAGCGTAGTGGTGGCCAATGCCCATCCTCCTACTCATCTTCGGTACAGTGCTAATATAACACGGATTAACATGTAGCACCATGTTAAATTCTTGTCATACTAACATGTATGGTGTGCCCCCTCCCTTTCAATTACAGTTTCAGGGCATTTCGTAGTATCGATCTAGCAAATTTGAAAGTGCCGCTTTTCCAGCCGCCGCGACGCGCAAAATCAATAGGTATCCTCGAGTGAAGCAGCGAATACCATATCTTGACGTCAAACGATACCACATTCGCCAACTATGAACAACACCTCGTGAATACGCAAGCATTACCATCAAATGTCGTATCTTCGCTACCCGATGACCACCGTAAAAGGTCGCAGCGCGACATTACAACAGGACCATCTAATGGAACGAGCTGGTTACCGACAACTGACTCATCCCGCTCGTTGTGGGGACCATCACATGGGCGCGGCCGACTTTTCCTGACCTCTCCTCGACCCCGTCGTACAATTTAATTTAACATGTAACTTATAAAGTATGTATATACAAAACTGTTGCCACCCCACATATGAACTTCTACACCATCAATTGTAGTCCTCGCGAACCTATAATCTAATACACAGTATCCAGTATATCTATTAGTATTGATACCTATGAACAAGTCTCTCTTATAAAAATGAGCACCAAATTCTGCACGAATATTAGCATGGAGAAGTTTCATATGTTGGCGAAGGAAGTCAATGAGTCGATGACCATCACGGTGACTTAGCTGGTCTCTCTGGCGGCAGTTTACACAAAATACGATATGCCATCTCTTTCCTACGCTAAGGCAATGTGGGGGACGCACGATTAGTGCGATTCTGGGTGCGCGCGGCAAATTGCGCGGCGGATTTATGTGATTCGAACGACTCTGTCGCCTACTATTGGAGCACAAACTCGAAGTAGAGTAGATTAGTAGGATCACCTGACCATATCCAACTATTCTACTTCAAGTTTGTGCCTCAATAATAGGCGACAGAGTCGTTCGAATCGCACAGGATTTCGCCGCGCAATTTGCCGCGCGCACCCAGAATCGCACGAATCGGCACACACCCAGGCAATGTGATGGTTATCGGTTAACGAAATCTGATTTTATACTGAGCAGCGGCGAACTTCATTTCAGGGCTCAGTGTTTGGATAAAAGGTTCCTTCTCCCCGCTCCTACTACATTTTCACTGAAGATTGATGAATAATACGTGCACTTCAGCTCAATAACTGGAGAGTGTACAAAATTCTGAAAACTACTAAATTATGAGGAATTCTGCTCTCGAAAACTCTCAAATCTATGATGGTCTAGCTGAGATAATAAGGAAGTGCTTGAAGAACAGCTATGTCAAAAATATGGCAAAAAACCGTGGTACAGAAAAAATCGATATATTGCACGCCCGACCGCTATCACCTTGCGGATCGGAGATCTCGATTAATAACCTTTGATTCGCTCGGCGATAAGGGTCGTATGTGGCACCGTTGCCAAGGTTAGTAAACCTACCTTCTCATGGGGTAACATTCCACCAACGCGAAGTAGTAGCGATTAATCCAGTAGCATTACTGATAAAAATCATTTATGCCACCAAGAACGAATTATTTACAATGATCCAGCAAAGTACCTTGGTAAACATCATCCCATTTTTCCCGAAAATAGATAAATAAGCTCTTAATTCTTTGTTTCAACTAGTTAGAAAATAGCGTACAGAGCTACCATACAGCTTAGTAGACTTGCATTTTCAATCAAAACATAGTCGGACCGAGGCAAAGTTACCTTTCATAAAACTTCAACAAAGCCACTGTACAAATAACAGCGCTGGGGAATTCATTCGATAAACCAGATTACTGAAGGCTCTTCCCCAGACATCACATCTCAAACAACCACAACCGGGTCTAGTCATTTTTCTCGAACAGTCTATGCCAATTCTCGAGTTAAACGAAGGGATAAGCTATTAGCTGAAATAAAGAAATTTGAATGTTATATTTATATACAGTTTTGTTACAAAAAGACGTGGCTACATGTACACAGTGTCTTCAGCGAATGCGCCACATAACCGGAATTCATCCTGTTCAATAGAAGCGAACAGGCGTTGAGGTACAGTCCGACTTTGCGCTGATGGTCGCGGAACTGTCCACCTTATTATGTATTGCCTCCTGAAAAATCAAGACACTCCAACAGCTACTTCCAAGATATATCCACCTTACAAAAACTAAAACATTGCAAGATTCGACCTACAAATCTGTACAAGCTAACATTACTCAATAAAGAATAGATCACCTTGTTGGGGCAGGCAGTTTACCCCCTGTTACATCGTCTCGTTCAAGCATTATTCGTACAGCATTTCCGAGTGTTCCGTTTGAAGCACCTGATAAGGCGGTTATCAACTGAACGTATTTGCTAGGAAAATAGAAGAAAGACCAACCAAAAATAGGTACTCCTCTAGAGATGACGTTGCGCTCAACGGATTCCCTTAAGACACAAACACTGAGAGAACGGTTAAAGGGCAACAGATAACGATTCATATTGATAAAAAAAGAGCCATTATAAGGAACCTCTTAGTTGAAGCGTCCTCAATAAGAGCGGTGACAAAAATAAAAAGGTCTTCTTCCGTCGGTGGCTCAATCAGGCTGCCAGAGCACTAGAATTGGGAGTGATCACAGAATAATGATTGCAATTCCGTCGAGAAAGCCCATCGAACAAAGCTTGTCTACCAACGCACCTTCAGAACCCGTAATTTGCTACACAGACTAGAATATTGTGAGAGGAAGAGTTCCGCAGCCTTCAAATGCTTCAAAGCTTCCATAAAGTCGTCTCTGCAAAGAAATCATTGGGATATATTAATCAACAGTGCAGCGAAGGTGAGTTACGTTATATGAAGTCAAAACTCATGTCATACCGTGATCCGCTTCGATTTGCGCGACATACAGAATTGATCAAAAGCTCTTTATCGAGATAGTTCTTAACGCATTTACCTAAAACAAAAACTCTATATATTAACAGGAGTAAATGTCAAAACAGAGAAATACTGAGAATATTACCTTTCTGAATCATCTGTACGACAGCTGCAACGAATAGGACAGGTCGTATAAGCTCCACCATTTGTTGAACGGTAGCATTTTCCAATAGTGAGAGAATCTGGAACAAAATTGGAATCTCTATTAGTCCATAGCTCTTGGAGAAGCTCATAAGGACTCCTGCCGTTCGCACTGCAGATAGTTGAACTTTTATTTACTAACCTCTTCGGCAATCTTTGATTCATTGAATAAACGTGCTTGGTTTACCACAGGGATTGGCATAGCTTCAGACCAACATCTAACCCAAGTATTGTCCGGAAGTTGCATTCTTTCCGACAAGCATTCTTGAAATATATCTCTCACAGTAGCAGATGGGCATGCACGAATTCAATCTCACATACCTTCCTCCTCTATCCAGTCCTTGGGTGAGTGCCATCGGATGAAATCCTCTAGGCAACATTTCGGATTGGCAGCCTGTAGGACGAGAAGCTGAGCAATAACACAACTACAAATGACCGAACAAATATACCTTGAATGCTTGCATATCACTGCGTAGGACGTCCAGTTGGGCTTGAACCCTTGCCTCTCCATCATCCAATGACGAGAGGTAATTTGCATATTCATCGACCATGTCTTCGGTCATGGGGCTGCGGTCCTGGATCATGTATTTCATCCTCCTTCTGGTATGAATAGAAAAAGAACTCAATTCCTTTCGGAGATCATACCTGCGTAATTGGAACATAGAGTAGTGTATCACTGTGCTTGAGTAAGCGCATTTCGCCGAAAGGATGAAGACGACCGGATGGCTCTTGCTCCTAAATATTCAAATATTTCTTGACATCAAAATGCAGTAACGACGAATACAGTAACCACTTACCGAGAGAAGTTTGCCATTTTTGGGTGTACCCTTTCCAGTCCCTTCTCTAGAGCTATTGCTCGAAGACTCATCAGATTGGTCAGACTGAGCGTCAAAGAACTCGTCTAAATAGGGACATGACATGGGATGGTATAGTAAAAGAGTTTCGGCTCCAACTGCTCACCTCCGCCAAAATCTTTGGTGTTATCATATAATTCATGCCTCCTTCTCTTCGCAGAAATGCAGCATTGGAGCATCTGGATTTTCTGATGCAGAAGACAGTGGGACAAATTTGGTTGCGTAATATTACTCAATCTGAATCGCAGTAATTTAACATTGAAATGGCCAAAAATACGGTGACAAATCTAATGAGACTAATAATAGGGAAGTAGATGAAAATCAAGATTAAGTCATTCGGAAAAACGAATGTTATGCCTATGTTCATTCGATTTCATCCGCGCACTTGAAAAAAAAACATGAGACAATCTAATTATCAAGAAATTTCGACCTAGTGAAAGAGCCATATCAGAATTTCACGATCTAGAATCTGGATTTTAAGTCACCAACTGCTGATAAATGACTGGCGGGATTGAAAATTGATAAAGTTACTCCACACTGGTTGAGAGGATAGCATGTTAGAAGAGTTCACGTACCCTGGCAAATCTTTCGTACTATCATAATAAGTGCGTAGTCGTTTCACGAATTCAAGCCACACTTGAGCGAAGGCGTACGGTCCAAAAACGTCATCAATGGAAGCGTTTGCAAAAGCTATCGCAAAATGCCACGTCAAAGATTCCGGTGGTGTCCACTTGTTCTGTCGAAGCGAAGCCTGAAGAAAAAGAAATATTAGGGGATGCACAGTGCTAGTAGTTACAAATGCTTCTAGCAATAAATTCTGATTTGAGACGAATAAGCCTGCTGAACTCGTCTGCGGTGCGCGATTTTCGTTAAGTATGCAACGCTGCCCATAGGACCATATCTCCTATGCATCAGCATGTATCTTTATTCGGTGACGATGAAGAATTTGTCAAATGTAAGCAAAAAATCATCGCAAATATCAGTGTAAGTTTCAATTCATTCAGAGATGAAATGGAACTTAGTTAGTCATTAGAGGAACTTCCACAACGCTTCGCTTAGGCTTGATGTTTGTAATTATAACACTTCTCTAACTTCTGACAACAACTGTACGGGAAGAAACATTGTTCACGTCTGACCATCCTATTACAATGATTCCTTCAAATAAGCAAAATGGGAGAATGCATTAATAGAAAATAGTGTTTCTGTCGGAACTATGTACTCACGTAAATGTTCGAGCCTTCAACGTCACTCAACTGAGAATCAGTCGTACGTGAGGGGGTCTGGCGAGGAACACGTGACTCCTATGAAAAAACCGCCTGCTTGTCTGCAGTCAAAGTGGCTTATGCTGTTATTATGTTACCGGAACACTCCTGATGGCACTGCCGGGTGTGCTCTTCAAACGTTGACTGAAACTACCACTCACATCAGTCTTTTCATTGTAATCTTCTTCCGCTTCGAATATGCTATCCATACAACGTTTAATAACAGACTGAAAGGGTTATACAATAAGATATAATAACGTTTTTGTGGTGTTTCTAGAGTATGACACAGAAAACGAGTACGTACCTTTGAAATAGGCATTAACACCTCATCAAGTGGCAATCCACCAGGATTTGTTATAGAAATGTTAGGAACGCCAGCAAATCGAATATTCTGGATGCCCCCATCGGTAAGTTGTCCGAAAGCTTCTACAAATGAAAAATACCACATGGAAGTAACTCGGCTGAATTTTTGGATTTAATGACTGGAACAAACGTGGTTTACATTTAGCCACAGATTTTTTTCGTAAAAGCTCACCATGAGATCGCTGAAAGTCATGACACACAACACCTAAATTCTGAAGCAGAAGGCATGCCCCTATCGAAGGATCAAGCTGTGGGAGTAGAGAAAAATTGGAGAGCTGTTTACTTTTCGAGACCCCCTTCGCCTTTCACAGAGCGTGGCTAACTACTGAATACTTATTGGTAGAACACCGTTGATGTTTAGGTGGATAGTAAAATACCCTATAATAGAAAGCCGAACATGGCCGAACAAAATACCCTTGAGTAAAGGAGATACAAGACCTGATATCAATGATACTCGGGGAGGTGCAATACACCGAAGTGCTTCGAAACATCAAAAAAAAAAAAAAGAAATAATCAAAGTCCGCAGTACGCAAAAAATCAAAACGAACTTGGAGACTGCCGTACACCGAGCAGGGTGAATGCATTTTCTGAAGATTCCTTCGATTTATGGAGATCAACGATACGCGAAAGCACATAGCCTAAATTCAACGATTGGCATGGCAAACTTTCAGAAATTTCCTTAATTCAAACCTAGTAATCCCTCGGTATACCGGAAATCAATGGAGCCAGACCAGTTGAAGGCGCTCAGGAGATCAAGATCACTGTGATACTGCAATCAAACACCGTAAGAAAGAGCTTGGCGGACAAATAAAAATTCACACTAATACCTCATTCTCGTTAATCATCTCCTCCTTCATGTTCGGCCATGACGCAATGAGATTGAATTCGCTAAATTAAAAAAAANAAAAAAAAGTATGGCACTACAAAGAATGTCAAAGAACCGAGTACGCACGTTGGGCATGACCCCACTTGACTGTGAGAGGTGTTTCTGTGGAAGCTATGTAGGTGTGGAGAGCCTCAACATTCATGTAACATACCTGATCGGTTCGTCTCTGCTACCAAATGGAAGACTGTTGCACTCTACTATTTCACATAACTCGTCGATTTCTTTCGAAGCAATTGAAGGAAACTAAACCTTGGTGTGGTACAAATGGTCAACGGTTATAACATGCAACCGTCAGCAAAAGTACCTTTATATTGTAGTCGAATTGGATAGACACACGAATATCTTCAGCTTCGAGAAACGATATGGGGCATTTCTGGAGGATAAAAAGAGTTACCTTTCAAACAGAAGGTTGTGAAACCTAACTTACAACATGTTCTTTGAAAAGGTCAAGCAGACCGCTCAGATGCATGTGACGCATTTGACCTTTCCTCAAGTGCGAGCCCTAGAAACGTTGGAAATTGGAAATATCATTGAAATTAGGCGGAATCCTTTGGCCGAAACTGAAAACAAGTATGCGTTCAGTGTCTTTCCAAAGATTTTTCACCGCTAGGTTCTCTGTATTGTCGCCATGTTACTCGGTACAAGAAGTAAAAACTCCCTTCTAGAACTTCCCTTCTAGAAGAGGGATAAAAAAGAAGACCCCCAGGTCTGAAATTACTGCTCAGTTCACGATTCCCAGCCCCCACCAATAAGTCGTGCCAGACTGAAGTAATCAAGGAATAATTCACCTACAGTTTTCTCTAGCAAATCGTCAGTCTCATAAAAAAATCCGGTGAACGGATATGATTTTGTCACTATAGACAGAACTATAAACATGACAAGGATGGGTTGTGGAAATGGACTTACTGTGTAATGCGCAACAACGGATTTATTGCACGACGTTCCAAAAAACAGCTGTCTATCAATGTGCCCAAACTGGATGAACATCGGGACTTCGCTGAAATGGAAGCTGCGATTGACGCGTTACTTCAAGTTGATGCAAGCGAATGATTCAGAACATGTTTACCAAACAAAAGTAAAAAAGTATTATCATATTCAAGTACCAATCAACACTGTGTTGAGCAACTCGAAATGCACTGATGACCAAATTCTTCTGATCTTCTGTCATTATCGCATCATCAATCTGATCAGCTGGTGATAGTAGTATATATTCGGAGACACCATACTAAACAGTTACTTTGCATTTGCAGGGAATCGTATTGAGATAGGAAGTTAAAAATTACCATCGTTGTTATGTTACTGTGGTAACAGAAGTCAACTTCAGCATCCGCCATGTCGATAGCGAACAAAGGGAGATGCCCATCAACTTCGGAATTCGGTTGGTCTTTGACGACAGCGTCAACCTGTAACTCTGAATAGCTTTGCTCTGAAGAAATCGAAAGCTTAGCAGAACTCTCACCACATCAGGATAGTAATACGTAGCTTTTAGCTTGTTCGATTCACCAAAATTCAACGTTGCTGATTTTAACTGCCAAGAGCAGGATTTCAGAAACCCCTAAAAGAAGAGGAATATTATGATTAGTACCAAATTAGTTCGAGGAATTCGGAGTGCTAATGAATGGACCAACTTTCCTTCGGATATTTCTTCCGCTGCCTAACACCAACAAGTCCCCATTCTTGGATGAGAGCCTCAATGGCAACTACGAAATGCTCAAATTCTGTGATGACAGTGAAATCGTCGATTTCGAAGACATCTTCCTCTTCACTTTCTTTCTCCATGACCCCAGTTTCCTAAACAGCACATTTGTTTTAGCAGGGAACGAGCCCATGCCCGAGTCAAAAGAAAAACGAACTTAAAACAAAACAAAAATGCTATTTAGAAGAGATAACTTCACAAGAATTGTTTTTAAGGCCATAACTTCAGGTAAAACGCTACCGTTTCTCTAAGCCAAAGGTTCATATTTAGCGCAGTTTTTATAAAACTTTAAGAGCATCAACCAAATGCTAGTATATGTTTTGAAACTTCCAATATCCCACCTCAAATAGAGGAAGCACACTGTTCTTTTAAAAAGCCCACTATATGGGCCCAGTATTGATGATGAAGTAGAGTCAGGGCCAAGAAAGGCTAAAGACTGCGGGACATTGACTTCTGCGAACATAATTTTCAAGAGAACTGCTTCAGGCTACTCTGTGGTGTTCTCGTTAGGAGCCATGCATTATGATGTTTATGATGGTCTTGTGATAATAATGATGGAAACTCGGTCTATACTTGTATTCCTTTACGAATGTTTAATGAGAAAGACTTCACGCATACAAAAATTAGCAGAAATTTTGTTTTTAACCTCCGCAGAACAAATAAATTCGTAAAATGGAATATCCTGACGAGGCAGCAGCGTGGCGTAGCTTTGCATAGCTTAGCGGCTGTCGCCATCACGTGAAGCAGGAGCTACGGTGTGATTCTCCTGTTGATCCTAAGCGTCAATTATGATGTACAACCGCAATCGCTCCCAGACACTACAGCTTGACGTCTGTGCGGGTGATCAGAAACAAAGGCAGAGAGCAGGTGCGTAGAACGGAAACTATTTGTAAGCATGAATTCAAATTCCTACCGTATACTTCTTGAGTTTCACGCAACTATGCACTAACCGTAAGTTGTCGTGAAGTGGCACGTATTAGTTACGAAGTAGTCATATAACACAAAAGTACCGTTAAGGTAGGTAGTTGGGCCGTGTTGGTTTTTCATTCTTGTGATCTCAACAGAAGTTAATTCAGCATTGGAACCCGCTTCACTGTGGAATTAAATGGCATGGACTCAGAATTTCATGGATGACTTGTTTCATTTTATGACATACTTCTTTTTGCACATGTGACAGACAGGTCTGGGAGTGCACAATTCAAAGACCTGTCACATGCACACTTCCCAAACCTGTCATATACACGATTCCCAGACCTGTCATATACACGGCGGATCAAAGAAGGGCGCAACGGAGTGCTACAGCAAATGTTAGACTGTGTTGCATCATGACGGGGGACGTGCGATTCTGGGTGCGCGCGGCAAATTGCGCGGCGAAATTTGGTGCGTTTTGGACGACTGCAGCGTTCATCATTGGGGCCCACAGTTGAAGTAAAGTAGGTTAGTAGGATTGTCCGATCCTACAAAGTGCTCTACTTCAAGTTTGTGTCCCATAATAGGCGCCGGAGTTGTTTGAATCATCGCGAATTTCGACGCGCGCACGCAGAATCGCACGAATCCGCCACACCACGCAGGGCAGGATTTACACAGGGTTACTGTAGGATTCGAGTGACCATGCTGAATTTTGTTGCTATGTGATTCAAATCAAAACGCAGCAATTGTAGTGAACTTGAATTGTGGTAGTGCACCTCTGACCGCAGCCGAGAATACGGGAAGATCCCTGTGTCAACTTGGTCGTACTGGTTTTGGGTAACTCTTCACCACCACTGTTCCACGTGGAAATTCGTATTACCGGAAGCATCATTCAATTATACGATGAGGACTCGGAGCAACTTCTGCCCATTCCATTTCGTCTTGAAGCTTCAGAAAAAAAAACATATTAGCGGAGACTCAATTCAACGATAGCAATCAACTGTTCCACCTTTTTGTGCTGCAACCATCATGATTGCCTTGCCAATCTACTGACTTGGGAGAATACAGATAGTTTACTCGGATTAACAAAAGGTTCATTATTCAACAAGTGGACAGTAGATAACTTCTACATTAGTAATAACAACAACTATCGAAACTTTTTCGAAAAAAAGAGGTGTGAATATAATCGAATCACTCTTGTGCACATCCTTCAAACATCCAGCTAAACCTGTTTTTAAAACGCTCGACTAAAATAATACATTCTTCGGATGATTTGTAAACTTCTACTTTCGAACGACAGTCGTGAACTGGCCGATGGATTTCTTCGCTAAGCTCCGTACTCTCCTCATGTGAAACTATGTCGAAACCCATCTTTTGTCGTGCTTCTTCAACCTGCAACAAGAAAATTATTAAAAAGTACCGACTATTCTGCAGTTTCACTAGAGTTTTGGGGAAAATGAGTCTCCACTGATTGACCTCCGAGGATGAATTTGGAGATTGGCGTAAAAATACAGTGTAGGTCGGCAGAAATCATCGCCCTTGGCTCACCGAGGCTAGGCCGTTCCGACCGTTTTTCTCATTGAACTCTTATTCACATAGAAAGGTTACAGACAGTCTGGTGGTTCGACAGTTCCTTTCAGGACCCTTTATTTCTTACATTTTACTTCATGATGTCATTACTCTTCATCCTTGCAAAAAATGAGCGATCCCTGGAAGGATGAACCGTCCGAAAATGGTTTCTTGGAGTTGAGTGGGATGTACCCGCCTATACCAAAAACTGCAAATAAATAGTCTCACAAGGTTGGCGATTTATGGACAAAACTTCAGTCTCGCACGGGAGTCGAACCCGTACTTTTGCTTTCCGGGCACCGTGCTCTCATCCCTTACACTACCGAGACCCTGCTTGCTCTCGCCTTCTCAATGGCTTACATGCCATAGATTATCAGCACTCACACGTACAACGCGTTAAGCCGGTCGGCCGTTAAGCTGAAAGCTTTACATGATATAACTTGTTTTGACTAGATGTTTTGTTAACTGCTGTTATATTGCCGCAGTACGCGTTCCGAAAGTCTCACAAGGTTGGCGATTTATGGACAAAACCCCAGTCTCGGACGGGTCTCGAGCCCGTACTTGTCCTTTCCGGGGACCGTGTTCTTATCCCTTACCTACCGAGACCCCGCTTGCACTCGTTTTCTTAATGGCTGCAAATGAGTATGTTCTCTGAGCCAAGAAATTTTGCTCAAGCAACGTATTTTGCTTACAATTAATCTGTGAAACGTAAATAACAAATTTGCAGACGCACCCGTTCGAGAGATCCTAATTCTGCCAAGCGTTTACGTAGATCCATAAGCTTTCTGTTCAATACCCTGCTAACGAAGCCGTGAGCATATTTTGAATGCCGCTCCAACAGAAGAGCTGTCCTCATCATGTAACCTATGTGGAAGTTTTCTCCTACCTGAAAGAAAACGAGTATTTCGAACCTATCGTCGGGAAAAGTTAAAAGGCACAAAGAGATATTTGTGACTGTGAGAAGCTGAATAGAACCAACATACAATCAGGGAAGGCCTTTGCCCAAAGGCTAACCAGTGTTCTGGCAAGTCCACAGAAGCACAAAGAAGACAGACAGTATCTATGAATATCTGCGAGGCATCCGGTAAACAAAGTTTTGAATACACATCCTTTTTCAAGCTCAAATATTGTAGTTGATCGCCATAGTCAAGAGCACATTGTTCATATTCATGAAGATAGGAAAAGAGTTTATCAGCTGGAAAATCGGGAATCTGGAATACAGCGATATACCAATCTCTTCCTAAAATTCAATCAGCGCCTCTTCCGGAAGCTTTCACGAGAAAAAACTGAAGGTGAACGTCTGACATCATCTCGAACCCCTCCCAATCAAAAACCACGCCCGTTTAAACATGCGAACGGAACCAATGCAATATGTCACGTCACCCATCCGCCTCCCATGAACAACCTCGAAAATCAACAAACGTATACAACTTAACATGATCTCAGGACATTCTTACAATTACTCCACCCTTAAGCCCGAAATATGAACATATCTATCTCTGGCAGTTATATCGTATCCAAATCTCTATCCTCTACTTCCACAAAGTGCAGCGGGTCGTTGTCATGGTCACTATTTTTGGTATGAAAAGACGAAACATAGACCTCACCTTCAAAGCACACCGAACAAGGGAGTCAATAGCGGCAACTGTATGAGTACGACTATGCTTGTACTCCAAAAACAATGTAGTGTATTCCTTAAATATAATAAAACTAATTTTTCACAATAGTTCTCCGGATTTAGAACTCACATCAACTGCTTTTCTGTAATCCTCATGGTAGTTAAAGTAGGCGGCTTTATAACTAACGAGTTCTCTAAAAATATGGAACGTGAAATACATCACTCAGCGAGGAACACAAATAAACCGATAAAGAAGCCTTAGTTACTGTAAATTCAATTTAGTTATGGCCTGAGAGTTTTGTAACACACGCACAGCATTCCCGGACCCATTGTAAGTGTTAAGTAAGATTTCTAGCAGCGCTTTGACGACTTCGATCTCTATGTTGTAACAAGACTAAACAGCATAGGTATGATTGTGCCGCAAAACAGGGTCAAATATTTGCAAAACAATTACTCTCAATCCTAAGCTTCTTAGCAAAAAGGAAAGCATGAAGGAGCGATGACCATAAGTTCGATCCCTGCCGATGCATTACCAATAGTATCAGTAATGTGTATGTAGAAAACAAAGTATTTGGGCCCTGATGTATCGGTTCGTAATGGCAACGACTGCAGAATGCTGAATTCTGGCCAAAACATCTATATTCTTAATCTCATGACAAATCTCCGCATAAATTGAAATGACCAACCAGGACTCATCCTGGATTTAAATCCTACAGTAATATTACTTGTTGAGTTGATAGGAAGGAAAATATTACGACAAATATGAAGCGTGTGCTGGCCCTAAGAAACGGCTTGATTCGCGTACTTCTTGTGTTAAAAAGAGTTGCATGAGTCGCATTCCTGCGACTGCGACCAATGTTCATGACAACAAATATGTACTTTTTTGACTATGTTGTTTTTAACCGAAGAGTAAGTCTCCAGAATCTTGACCAAGCCTCTACAACTTTTTAAATGAGCAAGATTATAGCATTCTACAAGTGCACAAGTATTCTCACCTGTCTTCATCCGCTTTACGATCAATCGATAGAGTTTTGTTGAGAAACCATCCAACACTATGAATTTCGGCTGAATAATTATCAGGAGTGCACTGTTGTCCTCTCTCTTTGTTACTTTCAGTTTCATCAATTTCCAGATTAGAGAATAATTCTGATAACATCCTGAACTAGTTACCTTTTTGATGACAGGACTGGAAAGGAAGCTAGTAGCTAGAGTTCCTACCTAAAAATCGATCTACGTCTGGATCACTTCTTTTCTTCTGGTTGCTGTTTCTTTTTCGTCATACACGCTTTGAATAATTGAACCTGAGTTATGACCATTCGATGAGACATGCCTGTATATGAGTATCAGCCACGACCGACCTGCTCCTGACACTGTCTCCAGTCACCTTTGTCTCCCATACAGTCCACGACGGCTATGTGTTGATCCCAACAGCCAGTCCCTCTAATAATGACTACTTTGTTCATAAGTTACATTTCATACCATATGTAGGGCAGTACAACAGAGGGCAAGTACAAAGCGCAGCACAGTCAATGTACCTGATAAGCGTTTCTACACGATCCTCTTCGGCAGAATCTTTCGCCCAGTGAGATGGACCAGCAGACATGTGTCGTGGAACCTTCAAGTCCCAAAGCAACTTAGACAGGTTCACGGATTAACTTCAAGTACAAATGAGAATAGAAACGGAAACATCACCAATGACACTGTTTACAGGAATACACAACTTCCCAATTGAAAATTAAAATCAGGCTAGTTAAGTAAGCTCACTGTCATGCACCACTACTTCACTCCATCAAAAGGGACCAATTAAAGTGAGGAATAGCAGAATTTGGGTCCTCTTTACCCCCCCCCCCCCCCCCCCCGGTTTGTGTTATTATTTTACGTGAAAAACATTAACCTTCAGATGCACGTCTTACGAGGAGGCGTTCAACACCATGAAAAACAGTAGACAAAACACGTGATCTAATATTTATTCCACAATTGGATACAATCCTACAAAACTATGAAAGTAGAAGATCAGTGTCCCTCGTTCTGTTTCATTTCGTAGGGAGGAATCAACCCGGTAGTCTCCGCTCTCGCCTTCTTTTCAGCTTCGATTTCATCCAAGTACGGCTTCAGATACCATGTCTCCTATAAACAAAGAACTGCACTGACTCATTTTAAAGCGAGATAAATCTTCAGTAGCAAGTTTGCTATTCTGACCGTCGCGGGCAAATCATTCTAACAAATCTTGGGCAAGGATATTAAAACATGATAACACGCCGATGAGCCCTTTACCCTAACTAACTGCAAAGCAATACAGTGTAGAATATTGAGATGGAGTATGAGGGACATGTTTCAACAGAGTTGGAAAATGGGATTACAGCACCCAATCTCGAAACCACATTGAGGTCAAGGGTGCTACGTTCACCGCTGAAAAAGGAAATAACGCGAAATCCGCCTCCAGTTCGAAAAGTATCCATCTCGCAAACCCTGACTACAACCACTAACAAGGTCGGTCAGCTGAAGTGCGGTCTACTAGTGTCTCTCCACTTTTCCCAATTTCCGCGTTTCCGCTATTCTCCTACTAAAAACACCACTCTGGGGGCTTCATTTATACATCTTCATAAAACAGAGCTTCCAAATAATGTGGAGCATAAACAATATTTTTCTGCCAAAGAGTATGGAAGGGAACTTACTTGCTCCCACTGAGTCCATTTCTCCCTCGGTAGCCTTTCTCCATGAAGCGCTAACGTGTGAGCATGAGAAAGACGCATCTAAAAGTACTTCTTGGGATCAGCTGATAAGTAAGTCCAATAGCACAAACCTTTCTCTGATCGAAAAGATGAGGTTCCTTCAAATTGAGACGTCGTAAAGCTTCCGTGACTTCAGGAGCAGGCTCAAAATATGTGTCGTGGAACTGCAAGCCATATTCACGACCTGAACAGAAAATAAGAGGTAACATACAAGGTGATCACAACAGCACATATTCCCCAGCATCGACAATTTCCGGTATAGTATTACCATTGAAAAGGACCACAAAATATCTCCTGCGTCTCTAATTTCAATGTCTTTTATCAACGATTTCTTTGGAATTTTTTTTTGCAAAAAAAAAAAAACAACAAAAAAGGTATACAAGTGATTTGAGGAACTAACTGCAATGCAACTTCCTCTAGTAGTTCATGCTCTTAACGATACAAAATAGTAGAGTTGTTTGAACAGTTTTCAGCATTGCAACAGCTACTTTCCTTTGTACTTCTGCTTCCTACATTCCTTTTCATTCTTCTGAATAGAATCTTTTCGCCCATCTCACACATGACCTCAGTCCACAAGCCATGGCTAAACAAAGTCTCGTACACTCGAAAACGTTAGCGGTGTCATTTCTACGCATTACCAATGAAACAAAAGAGATGAAGGCTTCCAAAGGGACAATGGCCATTCGTCGTGCACCATTTACAGGTCAGCTTATACCTAGACTTGTTTTCTCGCTTATATTGAAAATTTTCATTAGGGATCAACGAGTCGTGGAGTCATACATTCATAGAAGCTAAAATGTGAGTTTGTGCACTAGCACAGGTATCGATCACGATCGAGGCCTGGTGTAATCGAAAAAAAAATCAAAAAAACTACTACTAGGAATAGGAATATTTTAACTGACTGATGCCTCCGACGCAACCCATGATTTGTAAGGTCGATAAAGTACCTTAATTTCAAATCCTAGAGTTCATGATTTTCGCATGATATCACTATGTTTCAACTAGTCGGTGTTTTGAGAGTACATTCGCTTTTAATATTGAAAAAGTATCTCACAATGCTCCAATTAAGAGCAACATATGAGAACGCAGAAGTCTTTGCTTACTTCATTTTGACATCCAAAAGATCGAATATAAGGTCTCCCACTCAACACGCCGTTATAAAACCCTTCCTTCCATGTTCTCACTTCACATCAGCTTACATTCAGTTACCCCAAAAAGCTAGAATTTTCTCGAAAACTACCTTCGGCCAAACATTGCCCTCTGAAATCATCGAGGCTGTGCTGAATATGAAGTTTCAACTAAAGAAGTAGTGCTCAAGGTAAACAAGCAACTAGTCCTTCCAACGTTCTATTGACGGAAGGGGTGCGACCAATTCACGTGACGCTATTGATCGATATAACGAAATTCGATGGTTAATTTCAGGACGTACTCTGACATTGCACTTTATAGCGCTCTCACTTGTTCTGCACAACTTCGCTTTTATGCTCAATAGTTGATATTACAGTGAGTGCTTCGTGCGTAATTAAAAACAGCTCCCTTTTTATCGACTGTTTGTAGGATTCATTCGGTATAAAAACAATCATGCTGCTTTTTGCTGATCAACTTATACTGAGCGGAAGTCGTACTAGACCGAACATGTAGTTATCAACGTAAAGCTCAATGCAGCAAAATAGCGAAACAGAAAAGGCAATACGAAGCGCCTCGAAGCCAACCCAAGTCTGGCGCGGGTCTCCATACATTGTGATTTCGACCAAACGCGCCAAGCGAACCTGGGTTCGCCAATCAAAGGCTAATGGAATGCTGGATGAGGTAATTTTGCTCTGCATATGCTTCCGGACAGAATGTATCTTAGCTTCACCTCAGGATACTTCATTTCTCCACATATCTGCCAATCACCTAAAGTTCTATCGTTCAGAAATTAATCAATTACGACACCAAAATTCCTTTCGTCCCTATCCCGCATGTTAGTATGTTCATATTACGTATGTTAGTTCATGCACTGTATGTGCTATTTCTCGGTCACTCTTTATAGCTGCTCAGTTCGCTCTCCATGAACTTCTTCTGTACGTTCGTAATGAATATTGGAAGTTCATCATCAATTATAGAAACACTTTTTTAATCAAAGATATTTCCCACATCTCCTCTAAGTACACGAATACAGTCAGCTTGTGTTCCACTTGGTAGTTGGGAAAGTTAATTAAGAAGCTCATTCTGCAGTGGATGCTTCAAAATGTATTGTCAATGGTGATTCTCAAACCTACCTCCCCAGCAATAATTCCATGCAAATTTACGGATCCAGTTCACGACACGATTATCATACTTGAATTTGATTGCCTTAGTGGCTGCCATCTGAAAAAGAAACAATATGGGGACGAATACTCGAACAATATAAGGAAGATCTATGTATACTGCCCGTGTTAATGCGGATGAACTCAAATCAGTGAGCAAAATTATATAGCCTTTATACAACCACAACAATCAGCTGACAAATATGATTCGATTAAACAAGTAGGCTGCGACAACTAAATGGTTCACTAAATAATCATATACATAACAGCATACTTGAAACAAATACAAGAATTCGGCATATTTCAAAAGTTTTGTCACAAACGAGCGAAGGGCGGCGCATTGCCAATCAAACAAAACCGATCTAGAAAATCGCCGTAGATTTAATTGTACAAGACGCAGGTACACCACCTGTCTGTGAAATGACGATGAGACTCTTAACAGAAAGAAGTTAAGAGGTTGATTCTTTGACACAAAGTCTTTTCCGTGATGATAGGTCAAAGCTAAACAAGTTCTAAACAGTTAGAGAAGTTACTAGCGTAAAGTCATCTTCATGAGTTGCATCAAAGCATTTGAATGGAAAAGGGGAAATGCATCTTCTTATTTCTTCTTTAGTTGATCAAATCGTCTAGCCAGTTCGTCAAAATCGAGGTCACCACCAGTTCCTCCACCACCACCTCCACTATTACCACTTCCACCAGCAAAAGTACTTGGTGGTTCTGGGAACATTAATTCTGAAAAAAAGGAATTGCAATTAGTAGACCATGGATACTCAGGGATAAAACATCAAGGGACCAGATAATGCGATGTACTTGAAAACCCTACTTTTAGGTTTAAGAAATGCAAAAATAGCACAGCTTTTGAATAGCTGAGGTTCTTTTTGCTGACTTTTGGAGGCACTCGAGCCCGTGCAGTACCCAAATAGACGCAAGAGACATTAGTTACCATGACGTCCTCTTGCTCACAACGGCAAAAAGCCTTTTCAATGTGGGAACATTCATACTCACGGGTCTATGTTATAAAATATCATCTTTATTCACACATAAAAGTGCATCAACAATATCCGTCACATTAAAATCATGGAGAAACTGCATGAAAACGGCTACCTCCAAGACATCATTAGCTAGCTCAAGAAAGAAAAAAACCTAATGATGAAACTCTTGAGGAAAAACCTACGGGGAGTTAAAAGTTTCTTTATGGAAGTTTCATCTTTCAGCTTATTCTAAGCATCTGTCAAAGGGTAATAGAAGTATAGTCACCACTTCATTAGCCTTTACTTTTACTTTTTGGCGAAAAAAACCATTTCCTTAATGTTTTAATAAATAGTGTACCCAGTAATGGAAGACTGAGGTACAAAAGGGAAAGGGGCAGTTATATCGATCAAAGTCAGAGCCCTTACCGCAATTCAGCGTTTTTACTGCCTCACTACAGCTATTTTAAACTCATTAAGTTATCAAAAAGGCGTTTGATAGGTGGTTGCTTAATGTGTGCTCCTTGCTATCGTCACCGGCAAATGATGGGTAAGGACCGAAGCAATCTAAGAGCTCAATCCCAATAACCCTGAATGTGATGAAACTTGGAATGGGAATTGATGAATGGGAACAATTTGAGTTGCAGAAGATAGGACATAACTCCTAGTGACAACTGTTACTCATAATCAGTGGTATTGGGATGTCTTACTCTCTTTGTTATACGCGGCTATACAAACAACCGATACAACTGCACCACATCCAAGGCAGGATAGTGGAATGTAATGAGAGATGTTATATGAGGAGGTAATTTTTATCACTGTTTCGCCCAAGCCTCACGAGCTTCTCAGTGGGTTAAAGACACCGTTCACGATAAAAAAGTTATTGAGTTCTTAAATTGATAATACTCAGCGGCCCCCATGGGTTGTAAAGGGGACCCTCTCACTCCCCCAATCTCGACGTCCAGGGCATAGTGGCAGCCCCGTTGTTGCCGTAGTTCGCGTTCCCGCCCCTCGATCGGTGTCACGTTAGACGAGTGTCGAGACAATACAGATTGCTATTATTCGTTCTAGGACCCACGCACCGCATCGTCGAGTGATGAGGCGATGTTTTTCTCCCATTCTTTTTTCCTCTGTTTTTCTTTTTGCTGCCGCGATCCCTCATTCAATTTCCTACTCCTAAAGGATGAAAAAGGTGAGCTACTTTTGCTGTTACTATGGTTTTTTTTTGTTTATTTATGCTTATAAGTGAATGAATTTTTGCTTACCATTGTCTGTTCTTCGCACCAGGACCCATACGCGCGCAGTGAAACACACTATTTAGCTTGTCCGGAAGCCCCACCCTTCTTCATTTTTCTGGTTTCATTCACGCCCAGCCCTCTTTTTAACGATTTTTCGAAGCCTTTTTTCACTTTGGAAACACCGATGCACGCAGTTTCTTCACCTCAGTCGCACTAGTTTCGATCTTGTCTTCCATTTTTCATCATAATCTGGATTATCCAAAATTATCGCGAACGGCGCCTTGAAAACTATGACGATAGACAAGGCTATGTAAGTCTATGGAGGTCACCACTCTCTTAGTACGACCCTTGAACTCAAATTTTCTGAATAACCGTCCCTGTTGACTCATTCGTCTGCACTGCCCTCGCATTAAATGCACAGTTCACGGTATTTTCAGGTACCCGTTTTTATTCGAAAACGGAAGTATCGACTGGGAATAGTTCATCGTAGTGAAGAAATCAATAGAATTCGCAATTTCGAGAAAAATATGGCTCCTCAAAATTAAGGATAACAGAGGTTGGTCGAGATTGCCATGACGGAAATAACATGGAAGGGACATTCGGACGAGATTTCTGTTATTGCAATTGCACAAAAAGCTGACTACACTAAGCCAGAACTGTAAGGATTGTCCTTCACTGTCACTATGGGTCATGACAAGTTGTTTGAACTTCCTACATGGGTTCCCTTGTGATCGGTGCAGCCTCTATAATGCCGGTGAAACTCGTCCGAGGATACACACGGNAATAGTGCCAAATACGGTATACGCGGGGGCCTCAAATTCATACTGTGGGGAAACAAAGAAACCATTTCTATCTTTAACTGTGCCTTTAAAGCATTTTCTGGGGAATCGTAATGATCGAATGCCAACTAGACCACCCATCCGACCTCCATCTTCCCTCCTTCCATATACCATAATTCTAGTGCAACGGATCAACAGTGCAAGTTCTGAAGGAAAAAAGAATTTTCATGAGGAGATTCCTCAATGAGTCGAGAAATCTTGTATTTGACATTATGCAATTTGTGAGAGGAACTAGTCAAGGAACTAATATGATAGGTAGTATTCGGATAAGATCATCGACTTGCTACGGAATGTCTCGATGGCGATTCTCCCTTCCCTAAGGTGGATCAGTCCTAACAATTACAACTTAATGAAAAAATCCTACAAAGTTCAGATTCAATTAGTTGGGCACAAAATTAACTCGTTACAGTAACAGTTCCGCCACCGTTACCAATCGTGTACCTTCCCATTTCACACGAATGCCGGAGCACTCGGCATAGGCAGAAGATCATCTAAGCATGTGGGACGATCCGGAAAATCTGAATCAGCTGGGCTGTTCTGTAAGTGAATACTGCAAGACACACCACTTTCGTCGGTTGGATTCTTCAATGTCTGAGGAGGAGCGGATGGAACATTGTTCGTTCCGTGAGGAGGTACAGCCGGTTTTTTGTCTATGACCAGCGAGTTCTGAAAAGAAAAAACTGTTAGGTCTTGAATCGAGCATCTACAAACCTCTTCAACTCCTCTAACAATTTCACATGGTAAATTTGTCCTTCTATTCCATTTGAATTTACCCTTCTTCCCGTTTTAGAACGTTAGCATGTAGTAAATGCGCATGGGCATGGAAGCAATACCCACATTTTTCAGGTCCAGGTACAATAATAAGCTCAGGTCAGATAAGTGTTGAGCAAAATGTATTGCCATAAATAAGAAAAATATCAATAAATCACCTTCTTCTACGAGTACTTCGTTTGGTGTAAATATAATAGAAAAGAAATGATATGTGTAAAAACAAGAAAAAGGAATTGGTGAAAAATAATAGAAAAAGTAAGGTTGATAGAAGATCAAAATTAGGACCAAATGCATAGCATTGCTTAAAGGAACGCACTGGTAAGAATGTCTGCACAATTGAGTTTTTAATGCATTTGTATAAATTTTAGATTAGTCTTCCATTTCACGGAGAAAAACATCACCTGATAACGATGACATTGCGGTATTACTTGTGTCTTCACCAATATTTAAAGGTTATAATTTTATTAAATGGGGCAGAGATGGTGAAGTGGGAAATGGCGCACTATCACACACGTATGGCCCGCGAATCGAATCCTGGACCGATATCGCCGAGGCCAACCAAGCCTTCCATTCCCATGAAGCTGGTTGATTGAGAACAGACTTTTCTGAGAGGATCAAAGCGCTAAATTGTACATCGACTGACCTGTTTTGACTTGATGTTTTGTTAACTGCTATTTTAACGCCGCAGTACGCGAAGCGAAAGTCTCACAGGGTTGGCGATTTGTGGGCAAAACTCCAGTCTCGGACGGGACTCGAACCTGTACTTGCCCTTTCCGGGGACCGTGCTCTTATCCCTTACACTACCGAGACCCCGCTTGCCCTCGCCTTCTTAATGGCTTATATGCCATAGCTTATCAGCACTCACACGTACAACGTGTTGAGCCGGTCGGCCGATATCAGCACAGAACCGTTAAGCTGTAAGCTTTACTAGTTCATCCCCGGAAAGGACAAGTACGGGTTCAAGTCCCGTCCGAGACTGGAGTTTTGCCCACAAATCGCCAACCTTGTGAGATCATCGACTGATCACCGCAATCCATTGTATAAGCCACATAAGCACCGAAAACGCCTCTAGAATTCTGAATGGAAGTCAAGTACAGGGTGCATTCCAAAACGCTATTGATTAGCGTCAAACACTGTACTTCGCTTCACTTTTTTCAGTGCTGATGTAACCATCGCCGAATTTGACTAATTTGAGTGCGGCACTACTGAACTTGAGCGCCGGACCAACGAGATACGAGCGGAGAGGAATATTTGCCGAAAATGGTTCATGGCGTAATCGAGTATGCTGATCCTGACATAAAACCTGTTTGAAATTTGATTACCGTAACTGGCAGTCAATGGTCTTTCTACAAAATAAAGAACTATGAACTGCCCTCATGCGAGGATCGGAAGCTCAACCCTAAGAGTCAAGCGGATGTCACCTAAGCCCACCCGAAATCTCTCAGAATGAGTCCATCGATGAAATTTTTTCAGAGTATCCACGTGGCGAAGTCCTCAGTCTCAAGCGTGCATGTGAATCTGCCATTCAGATTAGAAAAAAACAAACAAAAAGGCTCCAAAGTTAATGGTGGTTTTTGAGAAACGAAGAGGCATTTTTCTTTCGCGTTCAAAGCTTTACACTTTAGAAGCAGTTTTCCGCTGATAGGTAATAAATTTAAGTAACTGGGCTTTTTTCCAGGCAATTCTGTGGGTCTAATAACCACCACCAGCTGACTCTTAATATCACTCAACATCTTTAATGAATGACGTGAATAGCTATAAAATAGATGAATGGCCGAGCCTGTGCACGGGTTCAAAACTGCAGCTGGGTTGATCAGCTGTTTCGAAGTTTTTTATAGTTTCGTTCAGTTAGGGGAGGCTCTCAGCCTGACGGCAGAGAGCAACTTGAAAATCAGATGACTTGATTCTAGAATCCGCTGGGAACGCCTTTCCCAGACGCGTGATAATGAGGACATTATCACGCGTCTGGGAAAGGCGTTGTGAAATCGTGTCAACAAGTCCTTGGAAGTTGGACCCCCCACTGAGCACTTGACAGGAAATACAACCTTCCATAAGGAACCGAAAAACAACCCGAAATATGAGGCTTTCTTGGGTACCATAGCGTACTAAAATACCGTTGGGTTCTAATGAATTGGGGACGGGAGTATGAGGCAGGAGTTATTGATACATGGAGACCATAGACATTCGCATCTTCAGTTTACTTTTTTCAAAAGGAAATAACCAGAATCGGGAAAACAACACGCTCGGCCTGAAGCTCAAAGAGTACGAATCAAAAGCATATTGGAAAGATCACAATGATTGGAGTTTTATTTATGGAAGAGGGAAGGGTTTATTTTATTCATTTATTTTTCATTTTCTTGTTTATTTTATACCTCGTTGTTATTTTTGTAACTGTAAAAAACCACTTGCTATGCCACCTTGCTCTACCTCGATTTGTTATGATTCAGCGCTTCACTAACTCATAAACAAATGAATAAATAAATGAATAAATAAATAAATAAATAAATAATGATAGTTCAATTCGATCTTGTATTTACAACAACGGTAACACCATTATCTCACCTTTTTGGGCTTTGCACTGTTGCTTCGTCTGCAACTTTCGCAAGGTTTTGGCTTTTTCTTAGAATCCAACAAGTTTATAGTCTTGCGTCGGCTCATGAGCAGCATTTTGACTAAAGATATAACACGAACGCTTCCGAATTTGGAACAGAATTGGAATGAGCACGTCGTCAAAATCGAGTTTCATTTGTCAAAATCTATTCGTAAGGAAGGAAGCAGTCCAAGCGATGCAGCGAAGGAGCGCAGATAGAGATATTAACAAATGTAATAAAAGAAAGATGGACAGGTACGGCTCAGACGCCTCGTCCGAAAATCGAATCCAGCCCAAACCAAACAAGGTTCCCATTCCTTTGGTTCGATTCGCTGGTATCAGACTCGTTTAGGAGGATGAATTAGTGAGTTGAACATTAGCTGGCCAATGTATGTCATTGTATAGGCAATAACTGCATTCAAAACGCCATCAGAACTCCAAATGTAAACCAAGTGCGTGGCCCACCCCATAAACAGGACTTACTGTCTCAGAAAGGCCTCACGGTTAAACGTTATATCTGATCACGAAGATTTAGTTCATCAGAGTTTGAGAAGGAAAAGCGAAACGGTCACCATCACACTGAAGAGTTTATGAGAATGCGAATGAAAAGCTCCAACCACAATACTTTGCAGCAAAAGGGTAGTAAGCGAGAAGTGACAAAAAAGCTGAATAGTAATTGCAGTCAACAAAGTCGCAAATGCGGCAGCTGCCAGTATATCACCAAACCTCCCACTATGGACACTTACCACAATCGAAAAGAAACGAAGGACAAGTAGGACATGAAATAGGTAACAACAGCAAGCTTAAAGGCACTGTTAACGACTAAATGGTTTCGAAGATATGCACATGGTTAGAATTCTGAGCCCCCTCTGATAACATTTGTGCAGGAATTAGGTTGGAAAACGGCTGGATAGGGCACAATAAGGCCAGAAACAGTGGGGGACGCGATGCCTCCGCCCCTCGTTAGGCTGACTACGTGTTCAAATTGTCATTCACCACGTTCGCACTGGAGCGAAGCTGGTGAAAAATCGATACGTAGATTGGCAAATAGCCAGGAATGATCAGCTGGTCGACCGCCTCGTACAGGAGCTAGTATTCAACTATTATTTCTATTTTATGTTTGTATTTCTATTGTTTTTTTTTTGTTATGAATTTTTTACGGTAGCATTCTTTAACTATTCTCGTAAATTTATTGAAGATTTCAACATATTTTGTGTAGATTATTGCATGCAAATGTTTTTTTATTTAAGAAACTCCGTTAAATTCGATGTGTTGTCTGTATTGCAGACACTG